CAATTTACTTTCCCTGTTACCAGTCTATATGAACCCTAGTCTTTGCCCATATAAAATGGGAATAATACTGTATTTAATTGACTCTGGCTCACATTCTTTTTTAAAGATTATTTTTTTTTAAATTTATGCATACAGAACTGGGGTACAGGCCAGAGGCTCAGGGGCAGTGAGAGGCTTCACCAGAGACAGAGTGGGGAGCAGAACAGGTAGACTGACTTAAATACACTTCTGAGGGGAGCAGTGGGGAGACAGGAGAGGTCTGTCGCGCTATGTGGGTCATCTCTAGGGCTGGGGATCGAACTCACATTGAAGCTCAGTGGCTAGCTTGCAGTGCTGCGTCCTAACCCTTTGCACCACCAAGGAGGGTCCAACTCTGGCTCCAGTTTTAACATCTCTGAAGTCTTTAATCTAAAGTAGCTCACAGCCAGGCAACAGTGCCCATGGAGTTCTCACTGCAGATGTGTGCTTGGGGTGGTTTCTGGAGGCACAAATGAACAGCTGCAACTCTCAAGGTTTCAATCCATGAACTAAGGCCCTGTTTGAAAATGGAAGCCCTTTCATTAACACCTTCTGATTAAGAAAACGCCAGCATGAGAATTTGCAAAAGGGGTGTCGGTGACTTTGAAGAAAATTCGAGACAGTGAGAGAGCACTTCATTAAGAACTGCTATATCACCGAGGCCTTAAAAAATTTATTTTTCAATCTAGAGAGTTTCTCTACTTCTCCCAGCTTATCACAATGCACAGTCTCTACTGATAGCTCTTTCAGAAATTGTGCTTGATGCTGTGATACAAGTATTAACCGTGGATTTGAACTTCAAGACTAGTTAAATACAGAACTGTATCAATAATTATACAGGCGGGAAGAATGCCAGGTACAAAAAGGAATGCAAACAAGGAAAACATCCAAATGTGATCATTTATCATTTAACACTTTGAACTAACAATAGAAATTTGGCCTCTGTGCCTTGGTTTTTGTCACCACTCAAGTGGATATAGTAGAGTGTAGACAATACAGCTGTCCACGCTTACACAGATCAGTTCTTTCCACCTAACCCCTGTTCTCAAACCCATGTGGGCTTAAATCCTGTTTGTTTGTTTGTTTGTTTTTTAACAAATAGTCTGTTATTTATTCAATTTAAAAAATTTTTATTATAAAAAAGGGACAATGAATCATCCATTTGCACACACAGGAATGTGGTTTTATTATTGATCTCAGAGAAACACAGATACATCAATATGATGTATCCCTGAGGTAGCTCCACAGTCCAATTTCATACACCCAGAATGGTGGTGGACCAGATTTTTCTACTCCACTACTAACCACTTTTTTTCCCTTTTCTTTAAAAAAAAAAATCTATTTATGTATGTTTTACACCATTTTTCATTTTTTAAACAATGTTTGCTTTCTTTTTTCAGGTATAGTCCCCATTGAATTTCTGCCACCAGTTCAGTCTTGCTGAAGGTGAAGAATATGAAAGGGAGGTTAAAGACAGGTGAGCAGAAGGAGGGCTGTTTCAGGAAGTGAGAGGCAGAAAGTGGGTTAATCTCAGCTAACTGGGAGGTTCTGGATTCACTCTCTTATCCTAGAAGTACAAGTCAGCTCTAGGATTGACTCAAATTGTCCCCTTTGTATTTTACTGATGTGATGCCAAAGTACAGGATGGCTTTGCAACCCTACAGTTAGATGGTTAGATCTCCTGGGTAGATAGTTGCACAAGCTCTCTGTAAGTTCTTTCAGCCTCCAAAAATGCATCTCATTTCATATCACTGATATTTTTGTACCTCACTTAACTGCAGGACTTTACTGTGGTGTTTATTTCACTGGATTGTTGTGAGAAGTCTTAAGTTAATATATAGTGCTTGGTAGTTAGCTATGAAACATGTTGTTATTCTTATTATCAGTGTGATATTAGAATTATTTAACAATCAGTGTGATATTACTGTCAGCTAGTTGGAAGCTGCATACAGTGAAAGCAATGGTGACTTCTACATGGGAGGATCACAGCAAGATGGGTTTCAAAAGGAAGGCAGGGTATAATGGGGGGAAAATAATGAACAGGAGAGGCATTTCAGGGATGAAAAATAATCTGGGATACATATATGGTAACATCTGGCTATGCTATGTGACTGAAGCAAAGAGTGACAATACAGGGCTGAAAGAGACTGCAAGATTATGAAGGGGAAAATTTTGGGTTTTATTCAGTAAGAAAGTAGAAGTGGTGATTGTAGAGTTGTATGGTAGCTCACCCAATGCTAAAAGACACATTTGGTTGAAGTTTAAAATAAGTACAATCTACTATACTTCAATATGGAAAATGTTTATACTACAGTTCATTTTAAAAAACATACGCACACATACTTTAGACAGTTTTCATTAACCAATGTTGAAAGAAAAATACTTTGTGGTGAAGTACAGACCCCAAAGGTTTATTTAAGAACCTAGTTATTTAAGTAGCCTTCATTCATAAAGCATTTTTCTCTAGTAAACTCTGATCAACTATTTTCAAATGTTGATGAAGCTGGGAGTTTCCAAATCCACCAAAAAGACTGGTGCTGTATGCATCTGATCAAAGCAGTGGCACCATCATAACAAACATAAATGCAAAGCATTTCAAAGAAAATCCCCCAAATTTCCATAATGGCAACTCAAAACAATTATGTTAAGCAGGAATTAAAATCTTTCGTTAAAGCCAATGAAGATTTTAAAGTTAATTTAGAATTTTACTCTGGATGTTATTTCACATCAGACACGTCTTTCTGCTTAAATTCAAATGGGGGCACAGTGGACATCCACAATCTTGCATTCTCAGTAACTATCTTTCTCCTTTTGTTCCCTCTACTCTGCCTTGGGGGTAATGACTGTTTATCTGCTCAAGGATGCATGACCCAAACTAGACAAAATCAAAATTCTACCTGAAATATATAATTTGCTGCCATGCTTTGGTGAGGATGCTGCAGGCCGAAACTGTCAATGGCTGTCATCTACTGTCCTTATCTCACTGCCTCATACCCCAAAGAGTATCCTCACAGAGAAAGTTGGCCTGGAACAGAAAACCAATCCAGAAAGAAAAAAGGTTAGAGCCAAGTATGCTAGGTAGAATGATGACCTCACTGGGCTCCTGGATCTAGTCGTGCCTGTACATCACCCATTTATGAACCCTTCATGCTGACGTTGCGTTTTGGTGACTTGCAACTAAAGGATGGTTGGCTAACAATCAGAAATGTACAATAGCTACCTGAATATAAATGACACGTGTTAATGAGGTAGTGATTAAATAAAAGCAGACTAGGCATCTTAAAATTTACTGACTAATATGAAATCAAGTACAACGTATAGTGTTTGGCAACGAAATGAAATGTATTCAGGAAATTCTTCACATTAGAGCTATGTGCTTAACATTTTACTAAACATTGTGAAACTTGAACCCCACTTCTTGCTACAGAGAAACAAATTTGTATAAGTATACATTGGAACCTAAAAAGCTTTTATAGCAATTCTCTTTACATTTATAAAATATGAACAGGTGCAAACTTTGTTTATTAGAATTTATGGCTGTTAATCCCCACATGCCACAGTAAATAATTTTGAAAGACCTACCTTCCCTTTGAAATCATTATTTAAAATAAAGGCCAGGTGGAGTTTTTGTCCTTTTAAAATGTGATCTGTGAACAAAATGCAGGATGTTGAACTTAACATGGGTTAGGGCATTTGTTTATTCATCAGAATTTGTTAAGAATCCAAAATGGACTGAGTCTCTAAAGAAGAAATCTAGTCTTAATACTGTAAGATTCTAGGGCGCTCAAGTGAATTTTCCAATTTCACCCTCTCCAAGCAGTTGACATGGTTATTCACTAAAACACATGTTTATTGTAAATCCTGTGGGAGCAAATGTGCATATTAATCAAATGAGTTGATAGTTATATTTAAGGGAACTCTGCTAAATTCTTTCCTAAGAAATAGTTTATAAATGAAAAGCCTAATAAAATTCTAGAAGATAGAGATGGCAAAAATACATTAGGTCATGTAGATATTTATTTTCCTTCCTAGGCAGGGGGGAAAGAAAGAATAAATCTTTGGGTTTTGTCCAGCTTTCCATTTAAATTCTAGAAATTCAACACTTTTCTTGGAAGTGAAACTACATCATAACAGATTTCACAGTCAGGAAATTCCTCTCCACCCTGATACTCAAATCACATGGTTTTTTGTGTACTTTACTATTTCTAATAACCAATCTGTGACCTATTGGATTCAATTCATACTATTTGTTGCCTGTTTCAATGACACCAATTGCAATTATTAATTAAATATGACTCCTTGAAATCCCACATAGCTGTCTTTTCATTAACACTGTGAATAATGTACATAAGTTTTTAACTATATGAGAAGATTCCTGAAATTGGTGTAGGAAATAAATTTACTTTTTAAATGGCAAGGCCTTATTATCTATGAATCACATTTCCACCAGTCATTTTATAAAAGGGTCTTTGCAGCTGTTTTTGAATTATTTTCTCTAATTTTTACCTCATATTATATACTTATACATGTGTCTGTGGGGTCTACAAGTATCTCATATCCTAAGCACTCTTCTAATTATCTTTTCATATTTCTAGTATTTTTCATATTTCCAGTATCTTCAAGAAGCTTTAGTTAATACTCTAGTTAACTTTTGATCTAAAATTATTCTAACTGTATATATTAAAAATAAATTTTATCAATGTCTAATTTTGTTACTATTTCTTTAACCACTAAGTACACAGATGCAGTACAGATGTACTAATAATCACTTTTATAGTCACATTGCAATTTCATAACCATATAAAGTCCAATAAAACTAGGAACACTTAATTTCAACATGTGAAATCATAATGTATACAGAGCTGCCATAAGGTATACATTAAGTCATGTATAAACATAAATATACATATACATTCCATTAGAGTTCCAAGTCTCTTCAACTTAGTTATTGCTAGATGTTTCAAAACTCAGCATATCTTCAACTTAGTTATTGCTAGATGTTTCAAAACTCAGCATAGAACTGCTCATCATAATATCCCTGTGTGGTAATGACAAGAGTGGAGCAGGAACTGCATGAAAGGCTCAGAATTCATGAGATAGCTTGTGAATAAGCAGAGCCAAATTTGTATATAGTGATGGTTCAAGCAACAGTGTAGATCCACTGATTTTCTATAGTGGATATAAGAAACAGTAGTTAATCAGCCTTTACACATAAGATATTGTACTAGGTGTTATGCAAGTATAAAAAGACCCATTAAGCTGTCTTAAGAAGGAAGCCACAGGTCAATTATAAAGACTAGAATGGGGATACCTGACAGCTAGATGAGTTACTCCAGTCTTTCTGTTTAGTGAAGTTCCACTAAAGAGAATGTCCAATTTTGTGGCTGATGCAGGTATCCTTGTTCTTGCATCAAAACAAAGTTGTCAGCCTATAAAATTAAGCATATTGAAAACCAAGGCCTAATTAAAATAAGTACCATGCCAATCATTTAAAAAAAAGGTGGGGGTTTATTAATATGAATTGTTAATGCAAATGATCGTTAATATGAAGGGCCTTACAATCAAGGGGTTAGAAATATCTTTTCCATAAAGCCAAACAAACACAAGAATCCTTAGTTTGTTTAATTACTTTTCGGAGAAACAAAAAATTCCAGCCACTGCTGACAACAACCCTATTATCCAATAGCTAATCAACACATAGTCTTCTGCAACAGTCTGGGAATTTTGCATTCTTCCCCCAGAAGAAGTGTTCAATCTTCATTGCCAGTGTTCTTGGTAGATTCACTTTTCACTGAAAAAAAAAAAAAAAAGAGTAAACACACAGTCAAGTGTTTATACTGTTTTCATTTAGCCTGTTCTGTTTTTCCCTCTTTTTTCCTCCCTTCTGAGGCATACCAATAGTACTGCTCATTAGTACAGACAAACCATCTCATGTCCTAGGCAGCAGGCATATACAATTGCAGCCACAATAAATAGAGAAATGATGTCTAAGAGTGGCAATTATATTTTTTGAGGTAACATCCTTCTTGACTCTGTGGAAGACTTGGGTATGGTCACTACAGTGTGGTTATGATCCTGTACTTGCACCACTGAACAGATGACTGTTATCACACAGGCTAGCCAAGTTTGGCTGGAATAAATTTTTCCATAATTTTTTTAAACTTAAAATTGTAAGTCAGTATATTTGAGTGAATGTGGGCTGACGGACTAGTTAATCGCCATCTTCTTCCTTTCACAGTACAGAAGACCCAGCAGAAATGGCTTTCTTTTAAAGAAGTTGTCTTGAGTAAGCAAGATTATAATCCATTACTAAACAGAGTTCCTGGAGTACAGAAACTGGACGTTTCCTCTCCCCTACTCCCCAATGTATGTACCATTTTGCTGAAACTGATGTAATTACAAAACATTCCATCTTTTAGGTCTTTGCTTTTTATTTTAATCTGCAAAATGGGAACCAGAGTAATTGTCCTATTTATTTCATTATATAGTGAAAGGAAATAATATATAAAACTAACCTAAAAATTATTAAGTGTAAAATATAGATTGTTTTGCTTAAGGCTTATAGCCATTTATCTCCACTGTATAGATAAAGAAAATAAAGTTCAGAGAGGCAGAATGAATGTTCAAGGGTCCATAGCTAATAAAAACTAAAGCCAGAAACATACACCTGCATTGCCTCACATTCCAACTGCCAAAGCAAATAGCTCCTACATTTAAGATTGTATAGCAACCAAACTAGTGTTTACTGAATCTTCATTTTGAGTAAGGTAGTCAAACAGGTTCCATCCAAGATATGCTCTTAATTCTTGTGGAACATTATAAACTCTAGCAGAGTCACTCAAATGTTTTTTATGATATTCCAAGTTAGTTGCTTTTTCTGTACTTTATGCAAAATCTACTATAATAGCTAATTATATAGCTAAAATCTACATTGTAAACTCTATATGCATGTTCCTGTGCCTCAGATCCAGTACCCTTTCCATGCCCCATTCCACCACATAAGCACAGTCAAAGAGGAAGGGAAAGTGAATGACAAGATTTATTGGCCCAACAAGAGAATAATATGTGCGTAGCTGCTCTGCCAGGCATTTCACTAATTCAAGTAATCAATTTGGGATTAGATTTCTTCTCAAGAGGCAAAGATATTTTCTAATTTTGAATTATATTAGAACAATCAAGAAATATAATTTGATATTTTTAAATTAATGGGGCTTTGTAATGCATGGCATTTCAGTTTAGGAAATCTTTCTTCTTATCTTTGTTTAATGAAGTTGACTACATTTGTTTTTTTAAAGAAAAAAAGTTCTTTATTCCTTAGACTTGAAAAGTAGCCTACTTTTATAAAGTTACTTAATTTTGCTAGTTAACTTTGGCAAACAAAGACCTGTGAGGCAAGTGACACCAATTTGAGCCTCATCACTGAATAGATACTAAGTGAACGGGCAGCCAGTGGTCTACCTCTTCAATCTAACCAGCTATTTAACTTAATTTTTCTTAAAAAGCACAAAATAATCAAACAAATAAAATTTGCTGATTGCCCATCAATATAGGTTAATTTCTGTTAAGAAAATACTTTTATTAACCTGTAATCATAATATTTAAACCACTACCAAATGTGAAACCAATTCAATTCTAGCCCAGGAATACATTTTCACTCCCCAAAGGAGAAGACAGACAATTTAAGCTGTGAACTCAAAATCAAATGCAATATTTTTGTTTCCAGGGAGAAAGAATTTCAAGGCTTTAAAGGAAAAAAAAAAGTACTGTACTTATGTAACTCTTCCCATGCATTAAGGGATCAATCATCCTGCAGAATGTCCAAAGAAAAAGACATGTTGAAGTGCTTACACGGAGAAATGCACATATAGAAGACATGATGTTATTTTTAAGAGGTGTATCTTCATGACTGACAACACTGCATGGCCTTTAAGTCTCGCCAGAACCTCTTTATTTCTCTACTATAGCAGCTCTAAATGAGCCTCTGTATGGAAAGTTGAAGTCACTTTTTTGTTCTATTAATCACCATATAGCCACCAAAAAACCAGCAAATTTTACTTAATAAGATTCAAATACACTACAAAAGTAGACTTTCCCACACCGCCTGTGTCTTTACAGGAAGCCTGACTTCAATGTGCATTCCTAAACAAGGTGAAAGAGGAGCTGTGTATGCTGTGTTTATTTGCACAGACGATGTTTGCCCTGGCTAGTAACCCACATTACTAAACAACTTTCCCTGAAACCAACATTTAGTGAGAGTTATGTGAATAATATTAAGGGAAAACCAGTAAGGCTTTATACAGCTTTAGAAAAAGTAAAAGTGATCATTTCTGATTTAAGTGAAAAAACTGGATGCTCTCAAATTGTAAAAAGTACAGTCAAGAAAAAATTTAGAAAGACTCAGAGGCTCCCCATATGAAGTTATTAGAAACTTCAAGTTTGCTAATTAAAAATCCAGTTTCAAATTGTGTAACTGATAAAATTTTGAGCACTTTGAAAAAAATTTATATGGCTTTTCACTAAGAAAAAGAAGCTTTTACTTATGTGTACAGAGGACACCTTACAACAAAGGTTACTGCTTGTTTCAGCCTGCAATGCTGGCAGAACAATAAAGCCAGAACCACACATTTGAGAGCAAAGAAGGGAGGACTATGGGTGCTGGTTGTGAGTGTGGTGTGGTAACACATACCTGAAGGGTGTGGGCCTGTAACTCTAAATCACATAAACAGATATAAACCAATGTTACCATAATACATTATTTTAAATTAAAAAATATATATACTTGAAAAATTCAATGATTCTATGGTCCTCTGGATTCTGTTAAAAGGAAGTATGATTAGTAGATATTAATTCTCATTTTAAGTGGTATCTAATGGTTTTGAATTAATATAAGTAACCTCTCTCCCTTTTGAAAAGTGATTTCTAAATTTTATTTATTTGGTACAATTGGCATTTAGAAACACAACTAGCTTAATTGAAATCAGCTATAAATATGGAAGGTCACTTTTTACACTTCTTCATTTCTAATACTTCTATTACTCAAAGAGGGAAAAATAACTACATTTAAAGAATCACTAGAAAGCCAAAGAATATAGTCAAAGAAACAAAATTAAAGAAAAATAAAATGAGTTTTAGAAAAGGAGGTAAGGGTCAAGGCAATTGCACTGCCTTACTCTGAATGTACTGTACGTTTTAAACATCATGATCCTTGAAACAGTATTCCTTTAGATATGGTATGATTCTAAGAATGCTCTGTAATCTCTCATTTTTGGAATCTCTGAAGAATGAGTTCTAATTAGGGAGTAAATTTATCTGATCATGGACAAATTGTTCCTTAATAGAATAAAGCAAACAAAGAAATACAGAATTTGAATAAAGCAAAGAATGTCCTTCTATAGTCAGGCAATCCACTGGATTCATTTTAAATTGATATTAAAAATTTATATGTGGTGCTTCACAGTGTTAACTGGAGCTATAGAGTAAATTCAGTGAAAAAATATGTAAGAAATAGTGACAGTCATAAAATTGTTTCAGTTTCACTAGAGTTATTCTAATCATTACAGATAGAAATTTATACTTACCTTGGTGAAGGACTTTCATGTCACTACTGAATTCTTTTAATACCACATGTAACGTCGGATACTCAATGATCACTTTGTTCCTCAAATTGTCAAGGAGACTTTTGCAAGGATCCAATTCATAATATCTTATGATTAAAAAAAACAACAAAATTAATAAAAGACCTTTAATATGTAAACTATTCATAAATGAAATATATCAGAGAACTGCTTACATTAAAAACATTTTAAACACTTACAGCACTAATTTAGTAGTCATTTCCTCATAATATTTTAATTTTAATATCTTTAAGAAAATCAGGTGAAGGAATTATTATTATAGTGGTTCAAAAAGTAAATTAAAAGCAAATAAGCAAAAGCTGGCATCAGGGAACTCTAGAACAAGTCATTTTCATGTAAAGAAACAAAGATTAAAATTTTTCTTGGATAAAAACAATGGCCAGCTAAAAGTTCAAATTCTTCAAATATATTTAATTTGAGCCCTAAAAAACATAAACTACCCTATGAAAAATAACTTTTAGTAGTATGGAGGTGAAATGACTAGCTCAAAAATATTTTTGTAAAGTGGTTTTTTTTTTTTTAAAGAATTTATTTATTTATGCATACCGAGCTGAGGTACAGGCAGAGGTACAGGGGCTATGAGAGGATTTACCAGAGATAGAGTGGGGAGCAGAATAGGCAGACTAAGTACACTGATGAGGAGTGATCTGCTGCACCATGTGGGTCAGCTCCCTGGCTGGGGATTGAACGAGTGCTGACGTGGCTGAGGCTAGTTTCACACACAGTGCTGCGCTTTAACCTGTTTCATCACCGGGGAGGGCCATATTTTTGTAAAATGTTGATTCTAATTATAGACGGGTTCCAGAAATGTATACTGCCACAAAATTAAATGTGTTGTTCCTTTGTTGAAATTTAAAGAAATCAAGTTTAGGTTTCTGAATGAGGCAAAAGCATAAAATTTAAGTTTTATGAGTCATAGCATCATGACAGAGGTGTCAACTATGCTACTGGTAATTAGATATAATATTCCTTAACATATAAAATTTTCAAGTCACTACTTAAAAAGACTTTATTAAAGATCTACTCATTTAAAGATCTCCCTTTCCATGACAGAAGTGGGGTGGGGTTTCAGGTAGCTCACCAGGCATTGCACATGTATTGTCATATCACTATAAAATAATTTCAAAGAAAAAGGTGAAACCACGTCCTCCAATGTAGTACAGATTTCCAACATTTTCCTCCACATCTACCCTTGACAGATGATATTCACATGGAAAATACATGTTCCAGGACCTAGAGTTTTAACTATCTTTTCCCCTCCCACTGAAAGAAGCACAATGGAATACAAGTGATCAAGAATGAGATTATCATCAGGATACATTTGAATCTGCTGTCATTTTGTTTTACGAGCAAACCAAATTTTGATATTTCTTAATTAATAACAAATTATTTGTCCTAGAACTTGGAGCTCATTGACATATACAGTACAATTACTAAGAACTCATGGTACAGAATTCCTAGTATAGTGATTTCTCTGTTTTCTAAGTTTGTTTCATGCAATAATTATCAAGTGCTGGAAAACGTAAGTGTTTAAGAGAATGCAAAGCCAAGCCTGGTATAAAAACTGACTTCTTTTTAAGAAGTAGGTGACAAGTGAGAAAACAACTGTAAAACTAAGGTTTTTCTTATGTTTGCCTGACCACACCCCACCACTGGGATTAAATCCTTCATTTTAGAATCACAGAATGTTTTTTATGTTGAAAAGAAACTTGAAAGGCAAAACACTCAGTTTTCCTAAACCAGCCACCCTAAGTGCCCACAGACCATAGAATGCATACATTCTTTTTCCCTTGTGTAATGTAATACAGATGTGCTTACAATACTTTAAAAGTGATTCCAGCATTCAAGGATTAAATGCTTCACATCTTTCAAACATTATTTCTCTTTGAAATAAGCAGTATTTCTAAAAAGTTAGCAGTAACTATACAAAAGAGAAAAAAATGAGATTAAATTAGAAACCCAAATACAAGATTAACTTACAAAAATATAAAATGGATGGAACTAAATAAAAGTCAAAATGAAATGTCAAATAAGGACTTTTTGTGAACTATCCTACAAATACTTGTAAGTAACTTTATCTTCTGTACATTGTAACTGAATCATAAGGCACATTTAGAGACATTTTCTGATATGGGAATATTTTTTCTATTTCAATTTTAGTAAATAATTTTCAGTATATACTCAATGTTTTTGGTATTTTATTTCTTTTTATAATATTGAATCTTTATTTGGTTTACTGTATTTCTAAAGCAAAAGCAATTTAAAAAAATTCACAACTCTCATGGCAAACAGGCTAATATTATCTTTGACACAGTATATAATATGTTCCTAGTAGATGAATATTTAGAGATACTTAAAAATTACCATGTAGTAAGTAAAAAGCTATTTTAATTTTAAAATTATAATCATCCTTATTTAATAATAAAAATAAGGTCCCAATGTACATGCTGAATTGGCACTATACAAAGCATTTAGGATGCAGAGATTTATAAAAATTTACGATGAACTATTTTTAAAGCATTTTATTCAAATACAATGAAAATCTGGAAGGTTGTGTGCTTTTGATTAGTACTGAATTTTATTTAGTGTTTATCCTAAAATGTTGCAAATTCCTATTCATGGCATACGTCTCAGATTTCTGGTCTGTTAAATAGTTAAGACTTCCCTAAATCATCTTTTAGTTGAAATTAAAATTCCTCATATTTTTCAATTATTAGAGGTTACTCAGTCTAGCAATAACATCTAGTAGTGACTAAAATGTAAATTATATAAACTGTTTATAAAGAAAGACTATCATATATATTTAGGATAATGTTTTATTTATGGATTTTGGTTAAATGAAGTAATGACTAATGGTTGCTTGGGTTTAGAATAAACATTTTGAGTGAAAGTCCTGCCTCCATCACTGATCTGTGATATTGGACAACTTATTTAACTTTTCTATTCCCTCATTTCCATGCTTAAAAATGGAAATGACAATATAATCTCTGAGGTTCTATGTTTTATAGAAAACTGTTAGCTACTTTATAAGCCATAAAAATTTAAGTTTACATCTACCTGAAACAATTAACAAACTCTTACAGAAACTTTACTTCATGACAAAGTACTGAATGTCTTTAGTAATAGAGTGACACGAAAGCACTGAAACAAGTATTTGTCTTTAATGATGCACAAGTGGCTTTAGATTCTCAGTGCTGTGCTTTAACCCACTGCGCCACCAGGGAGGGCCCAGTCTTACAACTTTTAATGCAACCTTCAAACTATTATCTTAGATCACATTTTCTTCCAAGAAGTTCAAAGTATCTTGAGGCTAATTGTAGAGTGCTTTAGCCCCTTTGCAAGCCATTAAGTCACTGAATCCTAAGAGACACCTGTATCTTTTTGAAATTTTCATGAAATCTGTTGTTTCCCATCAGTAGAAATGGCTCTGCTACCAGAAAACAAACTACTTTAGTTGGGAAGGATCAAGATACTGACATATGTCTTTTCTTTTATTCTCAGGGACCTTCTCGAGACATTTCTTACTGCTATTTCACTTGTTTACTCTCACAAGCTTACTAGCTAACCCTGATTAGGCAGCTTCCCAGGGGTCATTATCCCAGGGGGCATTAAAGGGACAACATGGCTCAAAATCATCAACAGGTGTTATAGTGACTGACATTATAAAAATAAAAATGTTGTTTTTTAAGATTATACTCTTAATCTTGGCTCTGTTATTAGTTTCCAAAGATACTAGTCAAATTCTTGAACTTCTTTCTCTATTTTATTAGCAAATTAGGATATATATAAAAAAAACCTCTCCATAACTAAAGGTAGATAGATTTTTAAAATGTCACAAATTACTCTGTTTCCTGATTACTGATACTATTGAGATTGTCTCCCCTGTAATCTCCTGAAAATATTGAACTTAAGTTTGACTGTTCTCCACCAGCCAAAATATTTTCTACTATCATATAAGGTCACTGGACGAAGAGCTCACCAAGATCCTTTCAGACCTAGGATTCAAGTTTGGATACTTATCTGCCAAAAGTAGCACTTAATCTATATTCTCAAAAATTACAATTCTTTTTATTCTAGGTTTCAGGATTAAAAGGAATACTGAGGCCCTCCCTGGTGGCGCAGCGGGTTAAAGCACAGTACTAAGAAGCTAAAGCCTCTTCCGCATGAGTTCGATTCCCGCCTGCCCCAGAGGTGACCACATGGCTACATTGCAAAGAACATATCACAGTCATTTCTCTCTTGATCCTCACTTTCTGATGAGAAAACAGGCTTGAGAACTTTCCAAGGTCTATACCAAAGTTAAACACTATTTTTTTGACAGATACAGAAAATCTATTTTGATGTAGGTTTTTGGATAAAAACAAAAAGCTTATTTTGGAACCTTATAATTTAGGTTAGTTTTGAGATGCAGTAATATAGTAAAACATATTTAAACCACTTAGTGTTTGTAATGGTGAATGTTTTAGACTACAAAACCTGGAAACTCTTAAAGTAAAATAGGACAGTCTATTTCTTCATAAATGATGTATTCTGGAAGGATATTACTCTGGAATGTAATACAATTTCTCTCTGAAGGGATCCTGAAAATTATGGATTAGTATAGAGAAGTTATTATTTTGAAAATAATGTTCCAAAAGGACTATATTTCTACTGGAAACTCAACTTGTTCTAAGCCTCTCCAGACCTTATTATCATTTCTCAGAAAATTCCAGGAATCAGTCATCTTTGTTCATGTCTGTTTTCCCCACTACAACAGAACTGTATTCATTCCTGTATTAACCCCATTGTTTATTTATATGCCTAAAATATTAGATGTACTTAGTTTATGGTTTTAAAATAAATTCAGAAGAATCATTCCACAACAGCTTAAGTCACATCTTTATCAAAAACAGGCTATATATAAACATCAAAGCAGCAAAGCAAATGTAAAGAACAGAAACAGTATCTGAACTTCTTCATGAAAACAGATGATCCTATTGATAAAAGTAAGATACAGGTCTAAAAGTTAATAGATTTGAAAATTATAAGTGAATGGATAGTATCCAAGCTGGGAGTTTCTAAATTGTTCAGTCAGCGATCACCTCAGTGACCAGCAGTACAATAGCTATGCTCTGACAGTGTCTGGCATTACAACTCATGTTTCTCACTTCAAAACTGCTCATTTACTTTCTGTGATAAACTGGTAAGAAATACTGTTGCAAAAGGGCAGTTGTGGCTTCGCTAAAACAAGCAAGCTTATATGAGTTCTATGGTTTTACTTATTGCGCACTCTAATATCCAGAACAATACCTGGACAATAGTGGGTATTCATCAAGTATTCTCTCAATAAGTAAAGAAATTTACGGCAGACATATTAGCTTCTATAAGAAGACATACGTTTAAACCCTGTATATTCTGGAAAAGTAGCTCTCAAATAAAATCAGTAGCAAATTCCATAGTGTTGGACATGTATTCTGTGATCACCTAAATCTGAAAATAAGTTGTATATAAAAGCTAAAACCTGGGAAATATTAAAGTTTAGTTAATCAGGTATTTCAAGAGACAATTGTCCTATACAAAACATGGCAAACAAAATCAGTGGAAACTAGCAACATCAAGTATTTGGTAAAAAGATTTTATTCTGAAGTTACTGGAATGCCAAAAATCATAGGATACATTTAAAAATCAAACAGCCCACAGGAAACAATGTTTCTGCATTTAAACATTTTCCAGAAAATAATAAAATCCTTCTTTTTAGCATGCTTATCTAAAATTATAAACCCAACATCTTCTAAGCTAATTTTAGATGCTTTTTAAGTCTACTTTTCTATAATAACATAATTACAATTAAATTACAAATACAAATTTATTCATCTTACCCTATCTGTGACTATATTATGTGTAAAAATCTTTAACTAAAAAAGCCACTAAAAATCTGTTTTTAAATATATCCCTACAGTATCTAATTTCATTGTTCATGCTTATAAAATACTTATAAAACTATGAAATTTTGAAGAAATTAGGATAACTATGTATTGAGGATATACTTTCCTCTAACTTAGTCTCAGGACAAAAGTTACTTCAGTTAAGAGTTTCTGACAAAATTGACATAAAATGATACTATTATTAGTCAAAAATAAACAGTGTAGCTAAATTTATAATTTTAAATTCAAAATTCCTGGACCTGAATTGTAATCATTCACTATTATATATGCAAGTCAACTTTTGACCCCAATTTTTGTATTGCTAAAGACAAAAAGCTACACTAGACATAAATTGCAGAGGCTATTTCTTGAAATAATTTGAAATAGGACTTAGAAATCTTTTACATGTACATGATATAATTTATAATATTCTAACCAGGATGACTTTTTTCAGTTGAATTTATATCCTATGACTAGTTTAGAATTTTAATTTGAAAACTATCTTTAAAAGCCTAGGCTTTGCTGATAGGCAGATAATTATTATAATAACTAGTTACTTAAGATTGTCAAGTTACTTAATTATATCACAAAATTTGAAAACTTTTAAAGAAATAAAGAAGCAATTTACCTTACTAAATTTTGCTGTGTATGTTCAACTTTCATTAAAATTTGGACCCCAGTCTGAGAGCGAACGTAGACTTTCAACCTGAAATAAAAATGCCAATGTTGATTTTTAGTGTATTTTAAGATAGTTTCTATGGAAAACTAAACATTTAGGAGCAGTTTAGTAATACTTAAAATTTTATCCATCCAAGGCTAAAGGAATCAAGGATTTGAATTTTTTAAAGCAATCTTTCTGTTCTGTTTAATGAAACATCTTAAATTTAAAAAAGCACTAATCCTGCTATTTTGTTTGTATCCAATTTAGTGATATGTATTTTGTCTTACTGCCAAATGCAGCATGAATGATAAAAACTAGATTATGAGAAGAAAAGAAATTCAACTATTGTAATTGTCCCAAAGACACTGCTTAAGATGTGACATGGATCTGGTTTAGTTTGGCACTAAACTTTCTTCAAAAGTGGATGAAATTTAACTAGAAGGGGATCAGACATTTTAAAGTCTAACCAGTTTTAAATTGTTTCAACACCAGGTTCCTCTGGAACCAAATTAAGCATGCATATTCCACACAGAGGTACCATCTAGAGAAGAGGAAGTCAACTGGGTTCCTGTCCAGGGTTACTGATAAACACTCTAAGTGATAGTTTCCTTTGTTTGACCTATAAGCTAGGTCCTGTACTAGGAACTTTATATGCTATTTCTTTTAAGCTTCATAACAACCCTACTTAGTAGATATCTTCATTCTCATTCTCATTTTACTGACGGAAAAAAAAATTAAGGTCTGGAAGTTAAGCAACTTGCTCCTGAACATACAGCTAATAAAGGACATGGCTAGCTACTCTAACATATATACCCTGAATCTTTCCACTATGCTATGTTAACCACTTTTGTTTACATTGTATTTTGGAACAGGAGGCACAATGTATCTTACTTTCATTTTTAAAAAAAAATTTGGCTGATCAAGATTTTCTGTCTTTAACACTTGGAAACATTTAATTTTCAGTTCCTCTGAATCCTCAGTTCTTTAAAAGGCAGTTTAAAGGTCAAGACTGCAGAAAGGGACTCCAGGCTACCTGGATTTAAATTCCAGCTTCTTTGCTTAGTGCTAAATGCACTCTTCTAACTACTTTAAGGCTCAGCTTTCCTACCCAATCAACGAGTATAACAGCAATTATGTGTGTTAATGAGGTATTACTAGGATGCAACGAATTAATGCATTTATTATTATCTGTTTCAAATGTTACCAGGAACACAGTAAAGAATGAGTATTAGCTATGTTGTTACTACTATCCCAAACATCATCTCTGATAATGCCTTGATTAAACATTGACAGAAAGAGTACCAACACATTTTAAAATAAAGTTAGAACTTTACAAAATAAACATAAATGTTAAAAATAGCTAAAATTTTAAAATAATTTCAAAAAGTTATAAGATTTTTGAAACATACCTTTGACGAATTACAGGATCAGACTTTTCAGGATCAATGTATGGTCTTAAGATTTCATTGATTGTTTTGTCATCTGGTACTCTTTCCAACAAAGAAAACAAACAAACAAAAAAGAAACAAAATATTATTTATAATTTTTGACTAAAGGTGTTACTTTAGCATTATTAAATCTTGTGGTTTTTTGTTTAAATAACTGAACACAGAACTTTTATTTTACTCTTGGAAAATATAACATCCTTTTAAGCAAAAATTACTCATGAAAAAAGTTCAGAAAACTTCTTGGACACACTTAATAAACTCTTAAACAAACAATATTTTGAGAAGCTCCCTATAAATCAATTATAAAATATGAAGCTCTTTTAACACACACCTGTGTTCAAACATGAAAGAAGTCAAGATGAAATATATTTGAAAGTTAATAGAAATAAGAAAATTTGAAAAAAAGTTTCAGACACTAACTTCAATGCACATTCAAATTTATTCATTCTAAATCTTAAGACCAGGTTACAAATTGATAGTACTTTCTCTGAAAACTGAGCATTTTATGTTTTCCAATGTCCCTGTATGTATGTATGTATGTATGTATAACACATTATTATAGAAAATAAGGTTGTGGAAACAATTTTTAAAAAAAAAAATTTTATAATTTATTTTTACATATTCTTGTGCATTTTTCCATCTCAGTTGCAATCCCCCTGGGTTTTGTGGAAACAAATTTAAGACACTGCTCTGAACTATGAACTCTCCTCAAATCATTTATATATATTCATACTACTGTGCTATATACCCTTATCCATAAAATCTTTTCACTATCTTTGGTATGTAACTTTAAAAAGATAAACTCGCCATTGCAGCAACACAATGGAGCTCATAGGGATAATGTTAGTGAAATAAGTAAAAAAGACAAGACAAATACACTATAGTATCACTTATATGTGGAATATAGAGAAACAAAGCTAAGGGTCAAAAGGAAAACTTAAAAATTAACCCGTGAGAACTCTCCTACATTGCTGGTGGGAATACAGACTGGCCCTACCACTATGGAAAGTTGTGTGGAGGTTCCTCAAACTACTAAAAATGGAGCTACCATATGACTCAGCAATTCTACTCCTAGGAATCTAGCTAAAGGACACAAAAATATTAATTCAAAAGGATAGCTACACCTATATGTTTATTACAGAACTATTTATGGTAGGTAAGATAACAGAAATAACCCCGATGCCCAAAAATAGATGACTGGACCAAGGAGATGTGGTATATATACACAATGGAATACTATTCAGTAATCAAAAAAGATAAACTAATGCCATTTGCAGCAATATGGTTGGAGCTAGAAGGGATTATGCTCAGTGAAATAAATCAGAAGGAAAAAGAAAAATATTGGATGGTCTTACTTATAGGAGGAATATAGGGGAACTAAATAAGGGATCAAGGGGAAAAATAATAGTAAATAACCCCCCCCACACACAAAATTAATAGCCAATTATAAATCAGAGAAATTCTGCAGAGGAGAGGTAGGAAGAGGGATCAAAGTGGGAGGGAAGAGCACAGGGGCTATGCATGATGGTGCATGGGTGAATTGGTGGTGGGAATTCTATGGGGCCACACTGAGAGGAGAAAGCGAACACTGTACAAAAATGAACACTGGTGTGTGTGTGTATATATATATATATATATAATACATACATAAAAAATTAACCCTTGAGAACTGACTACTGAACTTAAGTATACAGAGGGCAGAAGGATTGAGAAGAGAAAAGTGAACACAATGGATGCGTCATCAAACTATGGGTGACATATGGTGGCAAGCACACTATGGTGGCAATTCCTGAGGGTCGATACTATACTTCCAGCCACCAACAATAATGTAAGCCACTGTTATCTCAATTAAAACAAAGTTCTTCATTAAAAGACAACTTGGGCTCTCCCTTTTAGTGCAACGGGTTAGGACGCAGCACTCCAAGTTGGATGCAATCACTTCAGTGCGAGTTCAATCCCTGCCCTGGAGGTGACCACATGGTGTGGCACCTCTCCTGACCAGCCCACTGTTCCCCTCAGCAGTGTACTTCGTCAGTCTGCCTGTTCTGCTCCCCACTCTGTCTGGTGAAGCTTCTCACCGCCCCTACACCTCTGGCTTGTACCCCAGTTCTGTATGAATAAATAAATCTTTAAAAAAAAAGGAGGCACTTCAATGAAAACATGGGCTAATCTTTTTACTTTGCTATAAAATATGCACAGTTTATAGACAAATGAAAAATTGTTCAACATCATTTATTACAAGGAAAACATAAATCAAACCACAGTGAGGTACCTATCACCTCATCTCTGTAATAACTGTCCATGTTAAAAAGAATGGAAATAAACATTGACGAGGATGTAGTGAAAAAGGAACACATCCATTACTGGTGGGAATGCAAGCTGGTACAATCTCTGGAAAATGGCATGGAGGTTTCTTAAAAAAATATAAGTGGAAATTCTGTATGATCCAGCAATACTGCCATTAGGTATTTATCTTAAAATTTTGAACATTCCAATGTTAACGGTTTGTAAACATCTAAGTTTATAGCAGCACTGTCCACAAATGCCAACTCACAGGACCAATCTAACAGCCCTCCAGCAGAAAAATGGATAAACAAACTGTGGAATATATACTCAACAGAATGGTTCAGAGCTGTTATAAAAGATGAAATGGTGGTTTTGAGGACAAAATGGATGAAGCTTAAGGTAATTGTGTTCAATGAAGTAAATCAGAAAATAAGCCAGATATTCTACACTGGTAGAATATCTGTAGAATATAAATATGGTTTCAACTCATTTGTAGAATACAAATAACCAAAAAACATACATAGGCAAAATATAGGAAAAATACATCTTGGCTGAAATAATTTAATGGTTACCAGTGGGAATGGTGGGTAGAGAGGGAAGGAGAAAGGAGACAAATGGGGTGTTGGCACAGATGGTTTGGTGGAGGGTGAGTGGACCATATGAATGAGCAGAAATGTAACCACTAAACAAGAAAAATTAAAAGCGACTTCACAGGTTTCCTAACCCTGGGAATCAAATAGTACACAACCAGTGAAAATTATGAATGACAATTAAAAATATTCAATATGAAAAAAAGTAGAATTAAAAAAATATTCATGCACATTAACTTCAATTATGAGTATACCTATACACATGTCTGAAATGTTTTTCCCCTGTGGGACACACTATGTATGATGTTAGTAGTAATCTTTGCAGAGAATAATTTTGGATATTTTTCATTTCCTATATAACCATTTATCTTGAGTAGAAAGATTTCAGCCCTTTGGAATTTTCTTGCATCTCCTTGATCATTCTCTCCCTTCTGAAGTATCTAATATTTTGATTTTTGAGTTTCTAAGTTCTATCTCTATAGTCCCACCTCTGTAGTATTCCTAAAATAGTTTAATTTTTCTATTTTCTTTTCACATCAAATAAGGATGAATACTACTCCATGAATTCATCCTTATTTTGTTTTTCACTCAATGTTATTTCTAAGACTCATCCATGTTTGCTGCATATATTTCATTCATTTTCAGTGGTAGTGAGCATTTCACTATACAAATAGACAACTTTGTTACCAATTTTACTTTCACAGATAGCACATTTGACAATTTACTATAAACACTGAGACATAATAAAAACAAATTAGTTCTTAGTAGACAGTGGTGATGTTATTATACCTTTTTTCTATGTACACAGCTTGACTCTGAGGAAATTGAAGCTTCACATGCCAACAAAACTGCTGTTTTCTAAGAGAGAAAATAATCATGTGAGGATCAAAGTAGATAAAAATGTGAACACATGAAACTTTCTTAATTTTCATTTTAAGACAGTAATTTTGTAAGTATTCTTATAATTTAACAACTTTTCTACTAAGAGCTATTTTTCTCTTATGACTCTGGAGGCTAAGTTTTTAAAATATACTTAAGGATTTTTAAGAGGAAGAAAAATCAAGGAAAGCAGTTCTGAGTTCCAAGGGTTTCATAAGGCCAAATCAGAAGGCATTTTCTTATAGTTCAGGCTCTTTTGAGATCCATGTGCTACTACTTGAAGTTTACAAATAGATTTCCTCATGACTAACAATGAGCTGATTCCTTCGCCTGACTAGTCTGAAAATTAGGTGAATGAAGTATTGTCCAGTTGAGACCAGCTGGCTACAAATACACTCTGAGCCATGAGTATGTGTATTCAGTAGCAAAACAGTAGACAACAAGTTGGTTGCTAAGCAAAATGTACTCTAAGAGAGTCCCTTTGCTTTTAGGTTTAAACTTTGTTTTGATACAGTTATCAACAGTAATAATTTACTTAATCTAACTATAGAAAAATGACCATGTTCTATTTAACACTTCTAAACTTGGTGAGCTAAATATTCCTTTTAAAAAATATTTAATGCTAAAATATTCAATCCATTACAGAAATTTAAATGTCTTCAAACATGATGGTTTTATACATGTTTTCCTTACTTAGAAAAAATTTCTAGCAACCATTTGGCAAGTTAATATCCAGCAGCAACTCCAAGCTAATAATTTTAAGTCTATTTGAATACCTTCCAACAAAATTTATAGGATTTAGTTATTTTTTTGTTGGAAGATAATCAATATAAATCAAGCAAAAATTCTTATCAGGATAAGCAGAGGGAATTTTTTTTTTTTTTGAACAGCCATTTGGGCACAAGTAAGAGAAAAATATGCGTCATTATCTTCATGTTGATAGTGCCACTTTTACAAGAAACAACCATGTTAAAAGTTTAGTATTATCTTGGCAGAACAAAGTTGAAAGCATTCGTTGTTAGTTGAAATAAGAGCTTTTAAAATTTCAGAGGAAAAGTAATATAGCTTACAGACGTTTATTTTTAAAGAGGTACACCTGAAACTTGTGATTTTATAATGCATTGTAATAATGCAATGTTTAACTTCAATTAAAACTTGAATGTAAATGCGACAGTTACTGACTTTAAATATTTTTTTCAAAATGAAACACCTGGCAATATTTGTTATCTGTGAAGCAGGTATAGTATACATAATACTACTATCAAGGGTCTAAAGAAATAACACATTTCTTCTTAAGCAAGTTAAAATGAATTTTAAAATTTTATTGGATAAATTACTTCATTTAAAAATACTTGTTTTTCCATGTTAAATTAGAGGGAGAAAAAGATTACAAACTTGTTATCTTGTGGAACTGTAAACCATACTCAATCACCCCAATCACTGCTTGAGTAATTTCAAGAACCATTCACCTTTTTTAACACTCAGTGGACGCTGAATACCTTCAGAAAGTACTTAACATTCCAAAACCAAGGAGAAAAGTCCTCACAAGTAACTTTATTTGCCACAGTTAACTAATTATGGTTTTATCAAGGCATTCAGTACTGTTTTACTATATATACATTGTTAAATTATGACTTACAAAAATCTTTTGGTTTTAGTTCAAACATGAACAAATTTCAAAAGATTATTATTAGATTATTATTATTTAAAGATTATTTTAAAATGTGATCTCTCAATATTCAAAAACAAACAAGAAAAAAATATACTCAATACATCCACACTCAGCTTTTACTAACTTGCATACTACCATATATTTTTTTCCTAAGTAAAACAAAAAAGGTTACTGATAAGAGTGACATCTGTTACACTGGTTCTTGCTCTAATTTCTACCCCTAAACCAAAGGTAACTGTAATCCAGAGACTGAGTATGTATCTTACCATCCACAGTTTTATAATTTAAAAAAAATACACACGGATTTACAAGCAACATAGTATTTTGAGTGATATTAACATCTGCTGCAATATCACCACACTCAAGTATCCTATGCCTTGTTTTTTCACTTACATGAGATTCAGAGACCTATTTATGATAATACCTATATGTTAATTTCACATTATACAGTATTCTATTGTATGAAGACTGATCAAATTTATTTATCCATTCTCTATGTTTCAATATCAGCTGCAAGTGTTTATTCAACTGTGCATGTGTGATGTACACTGTGACTGCCTCAAATTTTTTTACCATTTGTTCTTCTATTAAATCACACTTAATGAAAAAACACAGTATCCCCAGGGTGGGGCTATTATTTACTAATATGCAGGGTGGGGCTACTATCTACTATTATGCAGAATTAAAAGCTAACTTTATTGGAACCTACCTGTACTTTTCTGCATTATGGTGGTATAAAAGGCATTTGAGAACAGTAATTCAGAATAAAAGATTTAAATTGTAGAATGGACAAAGAGAGACTAAAGAATGTTGAATAGAGTTCCTAAAATGGGTGAGTAAATTATCTCAAAAGCTGTTTCCAATTATTTAGTGTTACTAAAAGTCATGTAGTCCTCATGTGGCAATCAAATGTCTTCCTAAGACTCAAAAAATAAAGAATTTCATAATTACATTCAATGATATGTATCCCACTTTAAGAAATACAACAAAGGCCAACAACATTATTTGTGAGAATGCCTGAGTAATTTTATATCTTTATTTATAGGTCTTTGTAAAGAAGTCTGGAAAGAAACAAAGTGACTGAAGTTTCAGAGAGTATGCTTGTTTTGTTTTGTACACTGAATGATTTTCTAAAGATGGATTCCAGAAGTCAGGTTATTTGGGTAGAGCAGGGGTTCTTGACCTTGGTATTACTAATCTTTTCGATCAACTAAATCTTTTTTGGTTTGGGCGGGGGGGATTAGCTTGTGGTTACAGGATATTAACAGTATCCCAAACATCTTCCCATCAGATAACCCTAGTAACACCGTCATCCCCAACTTGTGACACCAAAAATGCAACCGGAGACTGCAATGTTCTCTAGGAGAAGAATTATTAGGATACAGATTTGAATCTTTATCATTACTCCTAGTGCTTTAGGACTATTATTCCCTGAATTAATGAAAATGCCTTCAACAATAATGTCATCATGCTCTTGACATATTTACCATGCCAAAGGTGGCATCTCTCTCTCTCTCTTTCTCTCTCTGTCTCCTCTCTCCCTCCCTCCCCCCTTCCAATGGAGGTAGTATCAGCTCAAAGGAGGCAAACACCAGTTCACAGGAAGGTAAAACAAACAGCAAAGTCTTGCATGCAAAGTCTTAGTATTATTTGAGTTGTGGCCCTATACAAATCCAGATATACTGTATATCCTTGGTATCTAAAATATTATGGTGGGGGTAGGGGATAGATGTCTCAAAGCTCCTTGAGAAGTGATAACGAAAAAGAAAAATGTGAGACACGAATGGTAAACGTAAATGAGGAGAACAGTAATAAGGAAAAGAAATATTTTATATTTAATACAGGACACTTATTTAACAATCCTTGCTTACTAAAAATGGTTACAGATCATTCTCTCCTAAGGTTTCAAGAAAGTAATAATGTGGATGAAGACACACATTTGGTGGGGAAGGAACTTTTATATCCAAATAACTCAATCATTCTTTTGAGTTCATGATTAAAAAATGCTAATATTTATATCTGGAGCACTACCATAATTCTAAAGGAGAAAATCAGATCCTTTTAAATGGCACTCCTCTCTTGATATATGAGATGGTCAAGTCATTTATAACTAAAGAAAAGTAAATAGAAATGAAATACTTTTACCTATAAGGCTTGCAAAGAGGTTTTTAAAATAAGAAATGCTAGAGAAGCATGCAAAAAAATTGTTAATAGTATAAACTTATACAAGTTTCTGATGGTTTAATATAATAAAAGTTATAAATAAAACCCATAGTTGAAAAAAATCGTATTTTTGCCTTAACATTTTTATTTGTTAATAGTATAAACTTATACAAGTTTCTGATGGTTTAATATAATAAAAGTTATAAATAAAACCCATAGTTGAAAAAAATCGTATTTTTGCCTCAACATTTTTATTCTGAGGAAATTATCCCAAGGAAATAATCAGACAAGCAGTGGCACAGAAACAAAATACCCATTGTCCAATGTACCAAACATTATAGCAGAAAAAAAAAAAAAAGAACCATTTAAATGATAGTCATCTGAAAGGAGATTAAATAAATCATGGTAAATCTATATGATGAACTTAAAAATGAGGTAAAATTATATGCACTGAGGCAGAAAATGTGCAGTTTGAATGATGGTAACATACAGTCACATGTGTATTTCCATGTATAAAGTGTGCATGCCAGATCTTAATAAACTATGATTACTTTTTGACATTATAAAAGGAATTAATTCTTACTTTATATGATTTAATTAAAAAAAAAACAGACAGAACTGTCTGTTATTTTTTTATAACCAGCAGACAGAAAATATTTTTCATGGGGAGGTACAATACGGCAGTCGCAGCAAGGACAGGAGTAATTTTAATCTTTTAAAACAATTTAACAACTTCAAATCTGTCTCCTTTAAGACATAGGCTACAATGAAGAGCTACATATAGAGCATGAATTCTAAAAACTGTAATTTCTAATATGTATTTAAATCAGCTAGAATGTTTTTCTTAAAAAAGAAAAGACAATTCTGAGTTCTACATCATCCGTGGCAAACCAACATTTACCTAAAGCACATTTCTGAGGGCTTGCAAGGTCTGTGGAACACAAAGAATATGAAGGGAAGAGCACTTCTTTTTAGGGTAGAATCAACCCCCAACTCCAGGCACTGCTTTTTTCCTTTCATATCACTGATAACTTTTCATATCACTTTATATGAAGGTGGACTTTTTTTTTTACTGACACTGAATATAGCAAAATAGTCAATATACTGAAAGCCAGAGAGATTATATGGAATCTGAATCAGACTC